CCATGGAAATTCCATACGTTTTACTCAATTTTCTTACCTACCCTTTGGAATTTCCGCAGATTTGCTTTAAAATTTGGACCCTCCCATGGAAATTCCTTCATTTTTGGTTCACTTTTGCAGGGGGGCATTGGAAATTCCACATGTCCTCAATAGGGAGGGTGCGGATTAATAATGCGATCAGCCATTATGACTTGGCACTTCGGCTTCAATCTTCTCAGTGGCCCTGCAAAATAAATTTCTGTCACTGGCAGTATGCCTGACGAGTGATTTGACACGAACGCTTAGAAGTAGCGAGCCTAAATAGCATTGAATTTCCACTTGTGACCGGCTTTTGGCCTATGTTGCATTTTCTGGGCTTCTACCATTACATTATGACTTGGCAGTTCGGCTTCAATCTTCTCGGCGGCCGTGCAAAACAAATTTCTGTCACTGGCAGTATGCCTGACGGGTGATTTGACACGAACGCTTAGAAGAAGCGGGCCTAAATGGCATTGAATTTCCACTTGTGTTAGCGTTTCGCCAAATGTTGCTTTATCTGGGTCCTCTACCATTGCTGGTATCCTTTGAGTTGGGACTTCGGCTTTAATCTTCTCAGTGACCGTGCAAAATAAATTTCTGTCACTGGTAGTATGCCTGACGGGTGATTTGACACGAACGCTTAGAAGAAGCTAGCCTAAATAGCATTGAATTTGCACTTGTGTTAGCGCTTCTCCAAATGTTGCTCTATCTGGGACCTCTAGCATTGCTGGTATCCTTTTGACTTGGCACTTCGGCTTCAATCTTCTCAGTGGCCGTGCAAAATAAATTTCTGTCACTGGCAGTATGGCTGACGGATGATTTGACACGAACGCTTAGAAGAAGCGAGCCTAAATGGCATTGAATTTCCACTTGTGTTAGCGTTTCGCCAAATGTTGCTTTATCTGGGGCCTCTACCATTGTTGGGATCCTTTTGACTTGGGACTTCGGCTTTAATCTTCTCAGTCACCGTGCAAAATAAATTTCTGTCACTGGCAGTATGCCTGACTGGTGATTTGACACGAACGCTTAGAAGAAGCGAGCCTAAATGGCATTGAATTTCCACTTGTGTTAGCGTTTTGCCAAATGTTGCTTTATCTGAGGCCTCTAGCATTGCTGGTATCCTTTTGACTTGGGACTTCGGCTTCAATCTTCTCAGTGGCCGCGCAAAATAAATTTCTGTCACTGGCAGTATGCCTGACGGATGATTTGACAGAACGCTTAGAAGAAGCGAGCCTAAATAGCATTGAATTTCCACTTGTGACCAGCTTTTGGCCTATGTTGCATTTTCTGGGCTTCTACCATTACATTATGACTTGGCAGTTCGCCTTCAATCTTCTCAGTGGCCGTGCAAAACAAATTTCTGTCACTGGCAGTACGCCTGGCGGGTGATTTGACACGAACGCTTAGAAGACGCGAGCCTAAATGGCATTGAATTTCCACTTGTGTTAGCGTTTCGCCAAATGTTTCTTTATCCGGGTCCTCTAGCATTGCTGGTATCCTATTGACTTGGGACTTCGGCTTCAATCTTCTCAGTGGCCATGCAAAATAAATATCTGTCACTGGCAGTATGCCTGACGGGTGATTTGACACGAACGCTTAGAAGACGCGAGCCTAAATGGCATTGAATTTCCACTTGTGTTAGCGTTTCGCCAAATGTTTCTTTATCTGGGTCCTCTAGCATTGCTGGTATCCTTTTGACTTGGAACTTCGGCTTCAATCTTCTCAGTGGCCATGCAAAATAAATATCTGTCACTGACAGTATGCCTGACGCTTGACGGGTGATTTAACACGAACGCTTAGAAGAAGCGAGCCTAAATGGCATTGCCATTGAATTTCCACTTGTGTTAGCGTTTGGCCAAATGTTGCTTTATCTGGGTCCTCTACCATTGCTGGTATCCTTTTGACTTGGCACTTCGGCTTCAATCTTCTCAATGGCCGTGGAAAATAAATTTCTGTCGCTGGCAGTATGCGTGACGGGTGATTTGACACGAACGCTTAGAAGAAGCGATCCCAAATGGCATCGCATTTCCACTTGTGACCAGCTTTTCCCCTAAGTTGCATTTTCTGGGCTTTAACCATTACATTATTGAACAAATGAAATGCAACAAAGAGTTGAAAATAACGACAATTTCTGAACGTCATGTCAGATTTGTTTACGTTAGGTAAACTCAGAACTGTGTTGACCTCTGAACTCAGCCAATCAGAATCAACTACACAGGCAAAGAGATATGATATCGGTTGTGTCTTTATGTTTCCGCGCACAATAGGGTTAGGGGTTGGGTAACTTCGGTATTACGGCTGGGGGGTGTCACTGTGAGCTTGTTTTGCCCGACTAAAAGCCAAAAGGCATGGTCGAAGTCGTGCCCGATGGACATTTCAATCGCTAAATTTCGGACATATCATTTTTCACTAACTTTCCAACTAATGTACCGTATTAAATTTGCACAATTTTTCTGTGCCCTGGCCATGTGCTTCTTAGATCTTTTGTAGTATTGCTGACGCCCAGCATTATTTTCAAATGCCAGGTTTTTCGTATGCCTCTAGCTCTAGAGAGGGTCCTGAAGGGGTAAAATGGGAACTGGGATTTGCTTATTTTTTTTGGGGGGGGGGGAATTGGATTTCATGCACTGGGACTGGGATTCATCAGCAAAAAAAAAATAGAAAATGGGAATGGGATTAAGATTTGAGCAGGACAGCCACTGAGATGATGGGATTTGTGCTCTGGGACAATGGGATTTAGTCAAAATTTGGGTTGGGAAATGGGATTACGACCCCCCCTTCAGGACCCTCTCTAGAAATTTTTATTTTGGTCCTGGAATCTGCTTGAAAAGTCCTGGAATTTCAGAGTGACCCTTGATAAACCTGAAAAACTACACTTGTGCGTAAGATTACTTAAAGCGGTATTCACTGGCTTGATAGAAATATTTATAGACATAGACATAGTAAAAAATATGTCAACGTTTTTGGTGAAATTACATTCGCCATATTTCTAATACCTCTAGAAATTAGAGCAAGAATTTTTTAACATATTGAAATATTATCGTTACGCTATTTTTCTGAAAGGTTGTTAAAAGTAAAACTATATTTAATATTAAAAAAAAATTGTTTTAAAAATGCTTACAGCTTAGTGATTTTTTGTTAACTTTGACTGGTCTATAATTTTATTCTCCCCCCCCCTTTTCGTCTAGTGCGCCCCCCCCCCCCCCCTGGATATTTAAAATATGGCCTCCGTTTATAAACAGTTTTGCAAATGAGCGAATTTAAATCTCTAAACAAACACAGTTTTATCCTTGTTTGTGGAAACTCTGTTTATAACCACGCTTACAGCAAGATCATTTGATAATTATGGAGGGATTATCGCCTCAAATTTTACTGCTCCAAGAATCGAAAAGAGGGGAACAATTTCATTTGACAGCAGCAAATGAGCAATTTTCTGACTGGCTGAATGTTGACCCGTATTTAGAGGAAGAAAAACCTTCTATTAATACTGTTAAACGTCAAGTTTCTTCAAGTATTACAAACAAAAGCTCAAGTCTAAATTACCGTCGGTATTCACCTTGTTCAAATTGGACGAAAAGTTTAAAAAAATTGGACATGAAGTTCGAACATTTTACAGATTCGTCGTGTTATATTGAGCAATATAGGCGTGCAAAACAGTTCAGAATTGAAGAAAAGTTTGCAAAATTAATGCAGTTAAAAGAAAAAACAGTAAGCTGTCAAAATGAGAGCAGTTTTGCAGCCAGAAATCTTCAAAATTCAGAGTTTGCTACAAAGCAAGACAGCGTCTATCCCAAGAAAGGGCAGCTTAGCCTGCATGATGGTGTCAGGCAATCTGGTAATCCAGTGAAACCATCGTTGCCACAGACCGGGTACTTTGCTGGAAGAAAGTGGGTATATCCGAAGGATTTTGCTCGGGTATACAGTAAAAACATTGGAGTAAAATGGTATGCTATATTATGGTTTTTGCTTGCCATTGGAAAGCTTGCAGGGCTTTGTCAACGTGCAAGATTTGTAGTGCACTTCACTTGGTCGAAACTGAATATTAGAGAAGATGAATAATCCAAGTGACAATATATATGCAGGGTTGGATTTATAGGGGGGTGCACAGGGCCTTAGTCATCAGAGGTGCAAAGGGGGTGGGAAAAAGTCAAATTCAGAAATATGGCACAATTTCCAAGGTTTTTCCTTTTTTTGAAGTCAATGCCCATATTGCAGGAAATGGCATTTCTAGGGTTACAATTTTCAAAATTTTCCAAGGGGGCATACCCCTTGACCCCTTAGGGAACTTGCCCCTTCTGCGCTCAAGTCGTTAGGAAGCCAGTTCACTTGAATGATCTCCCACCACCCCCTAAATAATTATAAAGAAACACTCAGCTGCTCACCTAGCACCCCCCTAGAAAAATCCACCCCTGATATATGTGTGAATGGTTCAAGTAAAAACGAAACGTTATGGACAGCATACTAAGAATGACATTTTTACTATTTCATAACCAACATAATGTCAACTAATACATATGTTAAAAAAGTCATTTTGTGTGCATAATGTTTTGTTTTTACTTGAGACACTCGCATATACACTTTATACCTAACCAGGAACGGTTGCAAAAATGCAACTCTAGGTTCTCTGGCAGGAATTGAACTTGAAGCAATACGATTCTGGTGCTGTGCCCTAGCCATCTGAGCTACAGAGAGGCCAGTTGGTGAGCATTAACTATACGTTCATGTACATGTATGTAGTAGTACATCCTACAATCCTGGACAAAACATCTGTGAAATTTCCTATTTTTTGTACATCCTACAATCCTGGACAAAACATCTGTGACATTTCCTATTTTTTGCAAAAATTTTGTAATATCGCAAATTTAGAAAAATCCTGACCATTACCCCCTGCCATTCAATGTTGATTGCACTCCCAGAATATGGGTCTAAACCAATTGTAATATGTCCAACTTTTTTTTTGGTGGGGGGTGGGGTGGAGGGGGGAAATGAGAAAATTAGTCCAGTCAAAAAAGCCACAGAAGAATGTTTTAATAGATTGATTTTGTCTGGATTTTGCCCGATTTTAGCTTCCAGAAATGTCTGAAAAAAGGTTTAAAATGAATATTCTCTTGTATACTTGCAGCGGAAGCTCAAGAACAGAGGTAAAGAGAACAGACAAACCGGTAATGATGATATAATTTTTAAAATTTGCAAGTATATAAAATGTACAAGATTCTCCCCTTGATGAGTAAAATTGTCTGGAGTTAGGCATAGTAAAATAGTAATGTAGGGTGCATTGGGGCATATTGCAGCATAATGAGGTGATATTTACCCCATGTCCCTACCATTCCATCATGTAACTGAGCACAAGTTATATTACCTTGTCTAGGTACACAACACTTCAACAAAAATGTTTCTACAAGGCACAGGTAAGCCTCTAAACATTTCGTCTAACAAAAACTGGACTGTACCTCGGCACAGAACTGCCTGCAAATCCGCACCGACCAGCCGACAGAACCAACCAAAACATACCCAATCTGGTATATGGAACACTACACAGGTCAAACCTATGAAATCGCCTGTTCGGAGCGAGACGTTAACTTGTGCAGATCTGAGTGTTTTGTTACAGAACCATTCGATAACTCAACCTAAATCGTCTTTACGAACTGCGCCAGTCAGCCATGCTTATGAACGTGTGAAAAGTCCTAAAAAATCTGTTGATTCGAAAAATGTTGGGGACAGAGTAGAATATGAAAACATATTTAGAAGTGTTTTTGATTTCTATGAACAGAATTCTGACTCAAGGTCTCATGTATATATCAACACATAAGAATTTAATAAAGTATTATGTATATACTGTACAGCGATTTAAAAAGTAATCGAAGAAAATGTTTTTGAAATATTATCTATGAGAGTTAATTTAGTGATGCGTGGTTAATTTTCAGTTTGGACTGAGATTTCAAACTTTTAGAAATCAGTTGAAAAAGAAAACTTTGGTTTATCACAGAACTAAATGTACCGAAATATATCACCTTTGCATAAGGCTTGTGTAACAATAGTGGCATCCAGTTAAAATCCTGCAATCAGAATGTTCCATTGTTTTTCTGCTGTTGTAAAACTCCATGGCATCCATTAACTCCTTGTTTTTACATTTTACAAATGACTTATGGATGCATGTGAATGAGTAAATGTGATATGAATATTCTGAGTCTATCTACACTGATTAGAAGATTCATAACTCATTCACTTGTTTACATTTATCAGAAGAAAAAAATCCCAGCAAAAATTGCAAGTATAAACGGGCCTTAAATTACGTGATTATGATTATGGTATTTTCAAAATGTACATGCAGTTGCGTTAATTTAACAAAAACCATGTTCAGAATTACTTTCGAACTTTTCTTTTATATTTATACTAGGGCAACCAGGCTAGAATTTCAGCACAGTGCCATTGGTTGAAAAATTCTTCTGTAATTAATTGCCTGTCAGTCTCTTAAGAAAATTAGGAACAAGATACCTTAAAACTAGTCTTAAATACTAAAAAAATTATATTGTAAATAATAAATCTAGGGCCATAGGGGCTTTACCATTTGTCATGGTTTGTTGTTAAAAAAACTTTTAATATATTGTTTCTCTGCCATATTTTCAAAAAAATAACTAAATTCATAAAACGCATGATTGATAGGGATAAAACTACCTGAAAATAACAAGCATGCAGAACTCCACGTTCCTCAAGCTTTCTTATCATCGTCACAGACTTGTCATTACCAGCACTGGCACAGACCATTCAGGGTCGGCATGAAGCTCTAGGAAGACGTTCTGTGATTGATTGATTATGGCAATGACAATGACAAAAGAATAAGCTATAGAATGAAGAACGAAGCAAGAACAATATTCCTTTTGTTTATGTAAGCCAATTACGTCTTTTGTCATTGTCATAATCAACCAGTCACAAAACATCTTCCCAGAGCTTCGTGTTTACTGGCCATTCAAGTTGGTAAAATGCAAATAAACAGACACCCAACTGAGTGTATCTTTTTGTGTGTGTACTGTATGTATATCCCCAGGTCATATTAATCAATAGAAGTTCATAACTTCTAATGGTTAAATTCTATGCTGCATTTCTTCCTAAAAAATTTGCTTATTAGCTAACGTAATAACGCATATATGCAATAACAATATCCTTAGGGATGTTTACTAATGCAGAAAAGGTGAAACGCATTTGAGTATTATACTTGAGTATGATAATGTTAGTGGCTAACTAGAAGTTATTCAAGTATTGCATTTGTTATACCATATAACTATGTTCGTGATGTTATCTATATTTCGTTCTCTTAAAATTAAAACTTTCAATCGGTTTCTGCTCATGAGCACAAGCCTATTTCTTATGGTGCATGTCTTAAAATAAAACACAATTAGCAAGTCAAAATGTGTTTTTTACATGTACTGTATGATACTGCATTTTTTCGTCTGATACACATAGCGTCTGTTAAAAATAAGAGCTCAAATTGAATTATTTCAAATCACAAAAACTATCGATTTGAAAACTATTATTTTTATACCGGTACCTGATTTCGGTTTTACAACAGGGGTAATTAAAATACCAGTCTACAACGCGTTCTAAAACAACCTATTTAAGTAAAAATATTTACAAAAGGCAAGCAAAAAGGCGGTAAATTGTTGCTACATATTAAAAACTCGCCATTGTCAACATGCTGTAATAAACGTTAATATACCAAGTGTGCTATTTATAACCCGGCGTATTATATCGGCGTAGCCTTAAAGAACGATTGCACAGTTGTGACTAGCGGTCTCTAAAGACACCGCCAAATCAAGCAACGGCGAGAGACGTTTATACCCGTCACTCCGCGATGCTATTCATGCTAATTCGTGTCATTCAAGCTAAATGCGCACCCGGTACGGTGCTTGCTGCTAACTGGACTATTACGCGCAGGGTTCCCCTATTCATCTCCCTGCACGCCTAACAGTTGGAGAAACTGCGAGACTAATGAGATTAACTGGCTTGAAAAGTGCGCGCAAGCTTGAAACGGCTAAAAACAAATTTGCGCACTCATTTGCATAAATCGCGCAAGTTTCGCGAAATTAGAATAATTTGCGTCAGGACGCGCTATTTAGCATAATTCGCGTTCGAGATGTTGACAACGCAATCAGGAGTTAACAATTTGTTGTTATTATGCTAATAATGTAATCACTTGCATTTGATTAACTAAATGAAAGGAATTTAATATAAACTTCCGGAAGAACGATTAAACTGAAAGGGGAAAAAAGAGAAATGAACGAAAAGACACTTTGCAAAATTTTAAAATTTTGCAAAATTTTGTGAGACGTGGGAACTGGTGAAAAGATATTTTCTGTTGAGGATTTAGTTTTGATATTTGGAGATTTTTGACAGAGAATGATTATAGTGCTTAGTTGAATGTGTTGTATAAAGTACCCGCATTTAGCTCAAGTACATCAAAGACAGCATTAAAGACATGTGAATTGAGTTATCAGACAGCAAGAATGAACGGACTCTGAGGAAAACCTGGAATTTACCATCTGGAATTTGCAATACAAGGTATGGAATCTGGATTCGTTTTGTTTTGATGGCACCAAATTATGCACTGATCGTGATACATTAACGAAAGTTTCCCTTTTAATTCTTATTTCGAACTTTCTCTTAGCCCCATGTTAATGAATGGCTTTTTTGTGTTATTAATTACCAAGAACATGCACACACTTTAGACAATATATTGTAGTCTTTTAATCTGATGACGAGTAAACTAATTAAAACTAATGTTAAGCCTTGTTCTTGGTCATTAATAACATAAAAAAGTCTATAATAATATGATATCATTGTTAGTATCAATGGAACTATTCACATTTGCATGTTTAATACGTATATACATTCTGTGTATGTGCCCCTTTAACAAATTATAAACAAAATATTTATTCTATTCAGATTTATTTACATTCGTTACATGCTTATTTGCTAAAAATATGAACCCTACCGAGCTTATTGCTACATCACAGGGCCCCCATAAAAATAAATGTACATAATCTATTGGCAATACATTTTATCTGCTGAACAGCGAACGACACGAGTGGCATTTGCAGAGAACGTTTGTAAAACCTTGGTATTATGTATTGGTCAATTTTCAACCAGTAACTGATCAATATCTGTTAGGAAACGTGTTTTGAGCAGTTGAAGGGATTAACTCTCGGAATGTGTGCTGTATAATTAAGTCTAAAAGTCAGTTTTCTATCAACTCTTCTTCAGTTGTAACATAATACTGATTCTATTTTTCAGATTCCACACCAAAGATGCCAGGTTCCGCACCCATTGATTCCAGGTCCCACACCCAAGATTCCAGGTTTTCGAATTTCCACCTGAATGAATTCCATATTTTCGGTAAAGCTCAGACTTCAAAAGTTGGTATGAGCAGTTTAATCGTTAGTTTAATAAAAGTCTCGTGAGTGGACGCGATCATGCAAGAACCTTGCCAGAATCCCAACCAAAGCATGTTCAGCATCGATGCTTTGCTTTCTTCATCAAGAAGACAAGAATACGAGGGAAGCTTTCAACAGTTTTTACCACGATGGCAAACGCCTGCAAATTTTGGTTACACTTCCAGCAGAGTGCCTGATTTCCAGCCCTTTGGAGGTAAGTTTAATATACAGATGTAGAAATAATTTCCTTGTTTTGTGCAAAATATCTATTTCGTAAAGCTGGCATTGTATGTGGCATATTTCATGATTTTTGAGGGTGATTGAGTATAGCATAGTGCGCTTTGTCTTGCCGAGACCTTGGTTGAAAAACGAGGTCGTTTTACCGAGGGTTTTTACTCAGTTAAGGTTTACTTGCATTTTGTATGGTCTGGTGGGGTGATGCGCCCGAAACCAAAGCCGGTTTCAGACGAGCAAGTTTTCTGTGAGAAATTTTCATGATAGGTTTTATTTTCTCGCGTGTTTACAGGCAACTTTGTCAAGTTTTTCTGCGAAAGTCCACTCTTGAGCTGACATACTAGCTTTTGAACGAGTGTATTTGTCATAGAAAAAAATTCACAAAGTACAAATCTTGTTCATCGGCTTCCGTTGGTAGGGATGCAACTACCTGAAAATAATATAAGAAGAATTTCGACGTTTCGAGCAGAGGCCCTCGATTAATGTCGAAATTCTCCTTATATTTTTCAGATAGTTGCATCCCTAACAACGAAAGCTTGTTGATTTTATTTGCACTACCTACAAATCTTATTCGTTTGTTTGGGTTCACAAAGAAGATTTGGCAGGGTAATTTGAACGCTTGGATACGGACTGTGGCAGTGCATGATTTGTTGTTGTAATATAGCGTAAAATAGCTATCGTACATGGGCAGTCAGAAAACCAAAAACTTGTCATGGAAAATATGTTGTACGTTCGCACGTGAAACCAGCAAATAAAACTTGCCACATGAAATTTATCATAGAAAATTTGCTCCTAAATTGATTGCTTTCATACGTTTAGTTTTCCTCTCAAAACAAAGATGAATTATATACACCTAGGTCTAATTTATTGCATGCACAGGTTACACAATATAGAGTTCGTTTGGTGGAACATTTTTGCAAAACAAAATAGCGAAAGAAAACCCAATTAAATTTCCCTAGCGAGTGTCTCACAAAACAAGGAAATTCAAAATGCTAGCTGCAAAAACATGAAAATACAACTGACTGGTTAAAATGAAGCCCGCGCCGAGCTCTGTTCGCATACCAGGTAAATCTCGCAGCAACAACTGGGACTCTAATTCTACCTTCAGTAGAGAATAGCACATTTAGAATTCCATAGTATAGCATTGACTTTACTCGCTGGCAAAATCACTTCTTTAAAGTTGTATACCTGCGTCGGAATATCAATCAAGAGGATGTATATTTTAATTTGCGTGCATGATTAGCCGCGAGGACATGTCTTGCGCATATTTTGCGCATTTACAAGTTCATTGAATAATTCGCGTTTTTCTACACAAATTCACTGGGTATACAGCCGTCAATTCGCTGCGGTATAGCGTCAGCCTTGTTGGTTGAGTAATTGTGGGCTTGAGTCAGGTTTATCGTGAACAATACAATGTTCCAAATGACTTTGAAGAAAATTCAAAAGAAACGATTGTTTATAATCAATATCTGCAAATGGAATACAGATTTCATCTTGATTCACATAAAAATTTACTGTAGGTTCAGTATTCACGAATGAAACATTCACATAGTCTAATATGCAAATCTGACTTACTCGCTTCGTATATATTACAAACCTTTTGAAAGAGCTATTAAAAACGCAAATAACAATTAGCTGTAACATGTATATAACATAACAATGTGTGAAAAGCCAACACGAGTTATATAACAAAATACACTTCTCGTGAAGATACATGCTGGGTTTAACAAGGTTTTGTTTCTAAACTGTCCCGCAGTTAACAACTGAGCTTAAGTTGTTTAGATGTTTTCACATGTGAAATCTCCTGCTTGGCGTTAAATGTGCGTTTGTTTTTAATCCCCAGATTTTTTAATCCCTACTTTACTAGTTCAGCTTCCTACAGAGAGTTAACTGCGTTTTTATGATGTCAGGGCTTACACAGTGGTTAAAATATCCCATTAAAGGTCGTCCCTTTCACTAAGAGTTGTACGTATATAACGAGGCATTTTAACGGACGACACCTGACAAATTATATACATTGTACAGCATTGGGTCCGAATTATGCATATATAAACTTTTCAAAGCCTTCAAACAATATAGCTAGCCAAAATATAGTTTATGATCAACAATCGTATTCTTGAAGACAGGAATGATATTTTGGTGGGAAAATGAATTTAAAGTTATGTATATCAGCAGGGTTTTGTATCAGACCGTGATCAGACAAACTCCTTCGCAGTCATGATTTCTAAAACGGTGTTTTCTTCATTAATAATTCATGGTTGCAATTTAATGAGTATAAAATCTCAGACTGAAAGACTGCTAGTGAATTATGCTTGGTCAAATTCACTTTTCAAAAACATTCCGCTCCAAAAAGCAAGATCCATCTTTCAACTCTATTTATTAGCAACCAAATATACAAGACAGTGTACCACATCTAATGAAAGGAATTGATATTATATTCTCACTCCGATAACTTCAGCTTGGCCACAATCTACCTCATGATAATGCGCAGTAAACATCTATTGGGTCGTGACTTAGAGCGAGTTGTTTATAATTTAAATGTTGCAGTTTCATATTTGATTCAACTTAGTTCCGTATTTTCACCCTCCCTGACAACGCCAATCTTTCAACGTGATAATAAGTTCGTTTCAAGGGGCCGTGAAAGTGCGTACAGTGCATGATATTGATATTTTTAAAACGTTTTGCCTCGATTGCCGCCATGTCTCAATGATTGATAAATGAATTTCATTTGCGAGATCTTTCATTCAACAATGCGCATGATGATTGCTTGCCATATCAGGCAATAAACACCGATATTTTTAAGATAAGTTTATTTCTAAAGTAAACTAGCTATAGACGTCTTTAACCATAATAACCATCTTTTGTTATTTGGATTGCATTGCAAATCGTGAAAAATGTTGCATTTTGGACTACATTGTATGTTTGTCGTGATACAGTATGACACTAGTTTTGCTCCTCTATATAGGCCAGAGAAACGAGTCTGGAGACGTCATATACAGTATATAGGTAAAGATAGTTTAATTTAGGTTTCCTCCTGTAGTAATACTGGATCAATAAGGGATGATCCTATAACTGGACCTCTGGGAAGAACAGTTTAGAACTGATAGAGTTATCCAGTGTAAATAAAGTTAGGTTAGTTTAGGTTTCCTTCTGTAGTAACACTGGATCAATAAGCGATAACTTTTACTGGACCTCTAGGGGGTTATCCAGAATAAAAGAGTTAGTTTAATTTGGGCTTCCTCAATCTCGTGTATATAGTAACACTGGATAATTATAAGGAATGACTCTTACTGGACCTCTACTCTAGTATAGGGAGGACAGTTTAGAACTGCGGACAGAACTATATCAAGTATAATTAATTTACTTCTAAGATCGCATGGAAGACCTTGCTCACTATATTGTTGCTAAATTTCTGAATCGGTCGGGGTGGCCTGGCCGCTTCTTAATAAGATTACTCGGTGCAAAGTTTAGTCTAACAGGATTTTCTGAGTATAAAGTTCGCCATTATGCAGCGGAAATTTCCTGCTATTAAAATAAGCAATGTTCGTTATCACAGCCAGCGCGCATTCCTCGCTCCGTCAGACGCCTGTTAGAACAGCAGTAAGGCGAGCGTTTCAACATTAATGTGCTCAATTACATCTCTAAGTGCATGCAGATGGCACGAGCTATAAAACCATAGCTTTCTGGAGTTTTCCTTCTAATGAATGCATTCATAACATAATGCTGTAAATTGAAGGAATAATGGTAACTTTCCATTCACATTGCATGGTAGCACAATCGTGAATGGATGCATACAGTATATTTTCACCATTGTGATTAGATTCCTGCAACATGGCACAACTGAGTTGTCTCATTCAATCAGCCATTTCCTAAAGTCCTGGGTCGGGGGGACACGAACTATGGCAGCACACATTTAAATTAAAAGTTTAATGTAAAAAGGAGAAATTTCATTTTTGGTCGTCTAAAAAGTTGATAGTAGATACTTCTTCTAGTCTTTCACATCTTTGACGCATGTCACCATATATCAGTTTTGTCCCTCCAAACGATCCCAGAATGCACTGCGATCTCTTTTGGAAAAAGACTAATTTGATTGCTTCGCCACGGTCACATGAGAAAAAAGTGTTTTAAGTTTGAATCTCTTAAACACCGCAGCTTTTCCCATGCATGCAGATACCCCGTGCTCAATCTATTTTTACTCAGGAGCTAAATTGTATCGGCCAGTGGTATATATCCACATTGCCACAGTAATACCAAACAAGGCCTTCATAATTTCCTTTGCAACCGTCATTTTATTTGTAACATAATAAATTATCATGATTTTTTTGTGCATGTGTTTTTGATGTTATGTACTCAGGCGAATATGTTTCTGATGTTACTCTGAGTGTATATTCACACCGGGCAGGCTGTAAAGTTTACCTGACAACGGTGGGAATTGAAAAAGGTCTCGGGTTCGATTCCCACCGTGGTCAGGTAAACTTTTCAGCCTGCCCAGAAACATAGAACTCGCTGCTATAATAATTAGTTAGTTGGGCAAAAATACAATACACACGTGACGGTGAAGAACCAGATTTATGAAAACACGTTGACTAACATAGATAATGGAATGAGTTTTATTTTATAGTAGAGGGCGTGAGATACTGAAAAATACACAGTGAGATATTTTCCAAATCTTCAGTAGTGAAGATATCGATCACGTGGCGTTTTCCAATTTGCTTTTGAGCGTGAAATTTCACAATTGTTTGCTTGGGACTATATAATAAACAGAACATTACACGGTGGCTTGAAGATATGACTTTTATCTTCTCGTGTTAAAAACAATATTTTTTTCACCACTCAAAGATAAAAGTCATGCAATATCCTCTATATATTGTTATTCTAATGAGTTTCACAGCCATCTTCCCTTCGATAGGCTATGGCTTACTCTCCCCGGGAAGTGTCTGTTGATCACATTCTTCCATTTAATTTAGGTTCGGGAAGAGAACGCTTGCACCATCACAACGATATTGCAGATGAGGTCACCAAACCATCCGACAACCATGTTTTTGACACCACCTACCCTTACAGCCAGCATACCAGCAGCAACGACGACACAAACAGCAATACAAGCAACAATGTAAACAACAACAACACGAACAGCGAGTCTCGAAGCAGGGAAGGAAGTACTAGTGATAGCGATTCCAAAGACAACAAATCTCGCCGAAGAAGGACGGCGTTCACGAGCGTTCAACTGAAATGTCTGGAAGAAACGTTTCAAGCGAATAAATATTTGACGACCATGGAACGCGATAGACTGGCACGAGCTTTGAATTTGAGCAAAAAACAGGTTAGTATCACTGACTTTAGAACAGTGGCATGAATGAATCTGGGCTAACTTGCCCTCTAGGAAGAACAGTTTAGAACTGATAGAACTATCCAGTATAAATAAAGTTAATTTAGTTCGCCGGGTTTCTTTTGCAGTAACACTCAATCAATAGGAGCTGATCCTTACTGGACCTCTAAGGAGAGCAGTTTAGAACTGATAGAGCTATCCAGTATAAATAAAGTTAGCTTAGTTTAGGGTTCCTCCTGTAGTAACACTGGCCATGAGGATCAGTAAGAGATGTTCCTTACTGTACCTCTAGGGAGAATAGTTTAGAACTGATAGAGCTATCCAGTAAAATAAATAAAGTTAGTTTAGTTTAGTTTAGCTTTCCTCTTCCTTGTCATAACAACGGAAGAAGAAAGATCAGATGACAGAATAGAACCTTGACAAATTTTCCTTTTTCTTTCAGGTGAAAACGTGGTACCAAAACAGACGTACAAAATGGAAACGGGAAAGTCTCGGAGATCCACTCCAATCCTTCGCCGTCCCTCCTAATGCCCAAGCCTATCTGCGCATACCACGGCCACCGTGTCAAGGTCACTATGCCTCGTGTAACCCCTACAGTCTTGGAAATCCCGTGTGTCCCTGTTATTTTCATCGCTATAACTCGTACGAAGTTCGTGGACCTTCGTATAATGTTCGACCACCTCCACCGTCGGTCAATCTATCACTGTCGTCAATGCCCGGAATGGCTTCGAGTTAAGATAAAAAAGAATGGGCCATTATGGTCATATGTGTTTGAAATTAGCCCAGTTTGTACAGGAGATCTATTCCTCAAAATGCATCATCCGTCTGCAGGATTATCCGTTACAGTGTCAACACAAGACATACTATCCGCACGCATTATAGACAAATTTTGGCAATGGATCTGGGAGCAAATCATAGCTGATATTTCTTTAATGGCTTGTCCAATACTGTATTTATACACATCAGATGGATCGCCAATCAAGCTAAACTACAATCGTAGACATCATAGCAAAAATTCCATGGACACACACTCAGACCTGACAGATCATCTGGCTCTACACTGTAGTATAAATCTCCAACTATCCAGCGTGGCAGAGGCCATTCCATTTAATACCTACATTTAATATAAAAAAATTCCCTCGGAAATTTTTTTACCCACTTCAGCAATTTAAAAAAAAAAGTAGAAATATTAGAAAAAATGACAGAATTGAAAAATTGAAATTTTCGTCAAAAGGTAGTACCCCTTCAAGAAATTCTTCATTCACGACTCCCCTCAGAATTCTCAATTTGGCACCCCCTTAGAATTCAGAATTTCAGACCCCTTTAGAAAATCTCGTCACAGTGGGTATTAAATGGAATGACCCCAGGCGATGAATGACCGAAACGGTCATTGCCCGTCTTTCTCTCATGCCGGCTGTAATACAGCCTGCTCCGTAGGCCAGAATCCGACCAATGATTTCATTTGAGATTTTGTAAATATTTTAAGAATAGCTTTATATGATGATAATTTTATTGAAGAAAATAATTCATCATAACTTTTTGCTCATATCTCCTGTGCATTGCTGAAAATTTTCTTGCTTTATTAGGAAAGCCAAGCGAGCGTAGCTATTTTGGTTACCACTTCGTTTCGAATACTATTTTTAGTTACGAGAGCTAAAAGGATTGTTCTGGTTAGACTAGAATACGCGTTAAAATATAAATACTTTCAGTATAATGCAATTATTCGCTTCCTCCTTAGACTATTTCCTTAATCCAATGTTAATTCACTTAATTATATCCAATCTTACTAATCCAATCGCCGGTTCTTAAAGCTTAATCCGCCGCGGATTTAGCCGTAGGCCCTTAGGATTATTAATCACAGAAAACTAGATTCATCTATAGAGCGTTTACACTCATTTTACACCCTGTGAACAACGCGACAAAAGCCATGGCGGCCATGTTGGTGTTCCACATAAAGGAGTCGAATTAAAATTATTTTGAATTGAAGCACCAACATGGCGGCTGTGACGTCATGTTCAAACGCTTTATACACACGTAAAAACGCACAAGTTGTTACAGGTCTGCAAACAAGTTGTTCCAAATCTGTTCACAAGCTGTCGACAATTAAGTTATGTTCGCACTGCTTGTTCCCAGTTGTTGTAACAAGTTTGGAACAAGCTTTTAACAACTTGTAACAAGCTTGATGGCATTATCAGACTTGTTACAAGGTCGTTCTAACAAGTCTGATACAGTCATGATATAACAAGAATGTTACAAGGTTGATCTAACAAGTATGATACAGTCATGATCTATCAAGGATGTTACAAGGTTAATCTAACAAGTCATGATATAACAATAATGTTACAAGGTTGACGACACAAGGTTGTAACAATATTGTTAAATCATGACTGTATCGGACTTGTTGGAACAACCTTGCAACAAGTCTGATAATATCAACAAGGTTGTCACAAGTTGTTAACAGCTTGTTCCAAACTTGTTGACAACTTGGAACAAGCAGTGCGAACACAACTTGTTGACGGCTTGTTGGCAGACTTGCCACAAGATGTGAGATTTTTGCGTGTGAATATGACGATCCTCTATTTTTGACCTGTTGTGCAGAACTCGTGATAGAGTTGGTTTTTTCCTGTCACCAAGTTGACTGAATTAGTCATGTTAGATCACGCAGAGGTAATTAGATGATATATGTGTTACAAATCTACTTTACCGAAACCAACATTGTTCTGGAGGGGGCAGTTTAAGGCAGATGGTTGGTTCGATTTAAAAAAAAATACTCGTATTTTCATTACATTTTCCCAAATTTGGATGTAATATTTCAAATCCGACTATGAGGATTGGACTAGATTTCAAGTCTGCGTAATTTGATCAAGTCCGAGGCGAAGCCGAGGACTGGATCAAAATGCGAGGACTTGAAATCAAGTTCAGTCTGAGTTGGAGGATTTGAAATGACATCTTATGCGAATAAATTACTATACTAGTGAGGTGAGTTAATTTTGGTCCAGTCCTAGGACTGTATCAATATATACTTCATCAGGTATCCAGTATTATCATGTGAGCAAAATAAAGTAATATGGTTGGCTAATTTACTCATGAATTATTAATGAGTTTGAGATGTAATAATTCAAACAGTCTACGTATATTTTTCCAGGATTGTAGTGATGACTAGAGGTTTCTTCAGTTTGGCGTAATTCATTTTTATGCTGATATGATTTTCTAAAAGGTACGTTTACACGTTGCGGTTTGTCGTATACAATTCGTATTCTGGCGTACATAATCGCATAAGCACGTGTCGAGTGGTTGTATTTCAAATTTCTCCAAAACTAAATGAAGAAGAATTGTAGCGTCAGCAGTCATATTTTTATCCCACAAATCGCAGCGTGTAAACCTACCTCTGTCAAGTAGAGATACGTCTTTCCTGCATTCTCTCCAAGTTAACTGAGTCGTAAATGATCATGCAGAGTTTGGTAGTAGACGTTGTTTTAATGTAGATTATCTTAAAATGATCTTACGTTGTACAAAACATCATTGTTCTACTTAGGAAGACAAGGATAAGATTACTTTATAGTGGGCTGAGTCTAAATTATGCTGAACTAGTGTACATGCACTGGCTTGGAAATATCTTGAATGTGGTGCTCTGTTGTCGTACAAATTTAAACTCTTGCAGGTGAAGTTATATAGTTTCATCTTCTGTTTTACTGAGCCAACGAGGAATGAATAAGTACAACTTTGAGCTGAAGTCCCACCTTGTACGTAGTTTGGTGTGGGGTTGTCATTGCTTGAATGATATATTATTATACTTATATTGAATATTTATAGAATGTTCTGGAAAATTCCGTTTTCGATGGAGGCTTTGTTATTTAGCATTATGAATTTTGCATTTTCCCATTGATTCTTAACCTGCATTTTTTACGTTTTCTAATTTTCTGGGCGATAGGCCGTGGCTGATGGGGTCCGTCCTCAGTTTTTGAACTAACCCTACCCAGTGAGCGTCACTATCGCTATTACCACCTTCCCCACCCCGCCACAGGGACTGGGGCTACGTTACTCGATCAATAAACAGAGATCGTCATTAAGATAACTGTTATGAAGATAAATGACCACAATTAATAATCCCTCAGTCATCATTGAATTCCTCACAGACCGATCGGGATATGTCTGATTAGTTCAGATGTTAGCAAACATTTAAACCGAATTCTGACATTTCCTGTCTAAAGTAAGGTTTTGGACTTATTTACGGAAAAAGACGCCTTATAACATGTGGGCGTGGAATTCAGTTGCTAATAAAGATTGGTAGATCATGTATTTCAGCTCGTTAGGTTAAGCTGAAAATTGTATGATAAACAGAACTCATGTGAGCTAAGTTAGCAGCGGTAATAGGGTCATGAATGTAGACTGTCCCATAGTGATATATTAAACTCTCTGTTGACTTTAGCAAGTTTAGATTATGCAGAGCCAGAGATAGTACTGTAGACTGTAGTACATGTTCTTGAATGTAGGTTACCTTATATTGTTTTAAATTTGCACAGAACTCATTGCTGAGTCAAGCATGGTTAGATCGTACAGAGGTAGTACATGTTCTTGAATGTGGGCGACCTTAAAGTGATCTGATCTGATGTTTTACAGAACTTACTGGCAGTTACTGCTGAGTCGAGCATGGTTAGATCATACAGAGATAGTAGATGTTCTTGAATGTGGACTACCTTAAAATGATTTAAAGTTGTACAAAACTCACTGCTGAGTCAAGCGTGGTTAGATCATGCAGAAGTAGTACATATGTTCTTGAATGTGAGCTACCTTAAAGTGATCTGATCAATTAACTCACCGCTGAGTTAAGCATGGTTACATCATACAGAGCCTGTCAGAGGTAGTGCATGTTCTTTGAGTTAGTAGAATCTCACAGTTCAAATATGGTTAGATTACACATGATCATGAGTTGTCCTCTATCACTCATGTTCTTCAACTGATTACCACTCCTTTACCGTCTTTCTAAGTTAATAAATAGCAGTTCTACTGGGCCAAACTCTTGCAATCAAGTGCAGTTGCAATGAAGAAGTTACGAAATTAATATTATCCCATTTCATGTATAGGTACCCAGCGGGCAAAATGACGTTTATCCAACGTTGAATCAACGTTGGAAATGACCTTCCAGACGTTGGATAGACGTTGAAAAAGGGTTGACTATGCAAATTGGATCGACGTTACTGTTTCGACGTTGAAACAACGTTGAAATTAGGTTGCCAATCTCGTCAACCTTAATTCAACGTTGAATCCACGTTAAAACAACGTTGAGATTGGTTCACAAATCGACGTCGTACATTTAACCATGAATGAACGTTAATTCAACGTCTGTTGGCTGCTGTTGAACCAATGTTTGTAAAAGAACGTCAGAGCAACGTAGATATTAGGTTGTCGACGTCGCAACCTTTTTTCTACCAAATTTCAACGTTGACTGAACAACGTGTGCCCGGTGGGTAGTCTAGTAGCGAGACCACTGTGGAAATAAAAGCTATGAACAGTCTTTCTGTCCACTATCCGTACTATACTTATTTCATTCTTTTAGGAAGACAATAGCCAGGATGTTACCAAGTAAACAAAATTGAGGTGGCGTTCAAATTTCCGCCGCATGGCCATAGGGGTTTCGTGGGCGATTATGTAGAGAACAAAAGCTCCTACCTTAGAAAAAGTTGATAATTTGCAGATTGTAACATTTTGACACGTCTACCAGTTCTATAAACCGTTCTCCCGTAGAGGTCCAGTAAGGATCATCTTTTATTGATCCAGTGGCAGTGTTACTGCAGGAGGAAACCTAAACTACACTAATCACTATTCTAGATAGCTCTATCAGTTCTAAACTGTTCTCTCTAGTATAGAGGTCCAGCAAGGATAGTTTCTTATTGTCTAGTGTTACCACAAGAAGAAACCTAAACTAAACTAACTTTATCTATGCTGGATAGCTCTATCAGTTTTAAAGTGTCCCTCCCTAGAGGTCCAGTGAGGGTCATTTCGTTTTGGTTCAGTGTTATTACAGGAGGAAACCTAAACTTTATTTATACTGAATATAGCCCTACACTAGCAATGAACGAAAACTTCACTACACTAGCAATGAACGAAAACTTTTTACCTATATTTGTACAGTAATATTTCTCATATGGAAACGAGACATAACAAAAATAGAAAATTGGTTATCAAAGTAAAACCGGCTTATATATTATTGCTAGTTGTCAAGGTATATTAATTTTGAATACATGACAAGCTTATTTGGAACACAAAGAACGCGAGATCCTAAAGCTTTTTAGAAGCAATTAAGAAGGCGAGAAAGTAATTAAGAAAAATTAGCGACCAGGTGTAAAAAACAAAGACGTTTTTAAACTTTATAGAAGTTTTGAAATGCTCGAAACTCGGAAAAAAGCATCGCAAGCTTTATTTCAATAATACGTTTGCGTGAAATACCACAGATGACTGTATGATGACAGCTCGATATTCAATGCCCTTAATTGCACGTCTATCCTGTTTACATAGCCATGCACTGGCGAGGCCCGCAGCCCAATTATTTTAATATCTTGCAAATTTCACTAAGACTATATGTGCATAGCATGCTTCGTTAAACAGCACTCACAATTGACTTAATCGCCTTGTAGGGGACTTCGAATTATGATCTCGTTTGGAGCCTCCGTGTAAACTCGCTTCTGTTGAGTGGTTAATACCAGCACTCTCGATTTGAACGTTTCACAAGGGCTTATGGTAAAGCATTTAATCGTATTCCAGCCATTCTCACGAACGATTTACGTTGCCTTCAACTGTGTATATTTTTGTATCGGTAAATCTACTTAAAATGAAGTGGAATAGACGTATCGTGTGGCGTTTAATAATACTTTTAAGTGTGTTTGTGTTATTATCCGAGCCAGTGTCGACGAGGATATCAAAAACTCGCTCAAAACGTAAGGAACACAAGAAAAGGCATTCGATGTACAAATTGAACCTTCGCAAAGTCTATGTGCGGAATGCGAAATGGGTAAACGCTAGCTGTCTGGGTGAGTTTATGTTTTACGTTAATAATATTATATTATCTTGGCTTAGAATGTAGCAAGATTATTTAAGTTTGTGCTGTAATAATTCTATGACAAGTATTTTAAATTAAGCGTTCGCAAAAGCCAAATGGAACTTATTATAAAATTCTTATAAATGTATCAATTAGCCTTCTATGTTACCAGTCTCTGCGGGACTCTATAACCTATCCTTTTGCATTAAAAGCTTACAAGAGATAAGGTAAACTGGTAGACATTGTTTTGTTTAAGTCTACTATGCCATGGGTATAATATTTCATTTTCAAAACAACAAAATTACGCGAGTATTTGTCCGGTTTCAATGTGTTTACTTTGAAAACACGCACACGAAAATTCTACATAAACTTATGCCCTCCGTACAATCTAAGCCGAAATTACATTGGTACTTTAAAGTTTGTAGGAAAGTTCCCAAGGCATAACCTAAGCTAAATCCTGTTATAAGTTTCAAGAAAATTTGCGATCATTCATCACTTCATCGGCACCCTTCCTGTGAAGGCCAATTGCTTGCAACTGTCACTAATTTGTAATAAATCCTAATGGTTCTTTCCTGTGCGGTTTAAGACCCTTGAAACTTGCCAAATTTCTAAACTAAACCTCTTGAATGGGTACAAGAAAATAGTGTGAATGCTAGTGATATATGCGTCTTGTATTTTCGGAAACTATAAATACAGTAAAATTATGGCCTCCTTCATCGAAAAACGCCAAATTCGTTCAGCTTATATACAAATGATGCTGTGCGATGTATGATTTTAATTTAGAAAGATAGTTTCTCATGCATCATGGCATATCTAGATTACGAGATTATATTTGACTAATTTGAGTATGCTAAATATCGAACGAAAAACATATTTCAGAGTATTTCATACACAAATTTTAAAGTCGATCAAATTAAAAAGTTGCAAATTGTTACAATTTTTGTTGCGCAACGCGCTGCATATGTTGCAATTTGCTCGTGAAGAATTTTTGATGCGGAATAAAGATGTTAATTTATATTCATTTAATGCAAAGAATTTTATTCTCGAATGGATTGCTCATTTTGAGCTCGAGTGAGTTGCTCAACTTTTTTGAATTTCCTGACTGTATAGAGTTCCCTATAAACCCTGTTGTTGGGCCAACAATATCGGCGATGTCGGCACAATGCTGAATGAAAATTTTAAACATTGTTAAACCCAATCCAATAGCAATGAACATGCATGGTTTTCAAACGAGGCTAGCAACGTTGGACTAAAATGTTGCCTCGCTTAAAGGGGCCTTAAGAGTCGTACGACTTATACAATGACGTTTAATAAAGCTAAGACGAGGCAAACAAGCGCTGAAGGTGATATATTACACAGTATAATTGAATACAAGCGACGTGTGGTATTTGCGCTTTATATGAAATACAATACCAGGAGCTTAGCATGTTTGTATGAGAACAGGCAAACATAATGAAGAAGCCATATGTGGCAAACGCGTGTTGTTTCGCGTATTTGTTTAAAATTTCACACATTGCCAAGTTACTTGCGCGTAGGTCTAAAATACAGACATTCAACTCCTCCCATTGGAATTGCAGGATTAGATCATTTTAGGATCAAAAACTCCAATCTGATCCCTCGTTTCAGTCTGTAAATGTTTGCGATTAATTGAGTTCGGGGTTAAATTACGGCGTTATTGAGAGAATATTTCAGTAATGACTGCATTATTAATCTGCGGCTAAAACGGTACAATGTGTGTGCGCAAAGTTTTTCCATACGTGCATTTTTTCACCGAATAAAATCACATATAACTAAGCCTTGAGGCTGAGTAGGGATTTTGCATAGGTAAATTCTTGAGTTTTTGAAGGATTTGTATAAGAAATGTTGAGGGAATTAACTGGCTCAGTGTTTAACATTGAGTGTGTTGCCTCAAACATGTTTACAAATCTTTCAAAACTTAGAATTTACCTGTATAAAGTTCCTACTGGGATCACAGAAACTTTGATAGTCTAAACCAGCCTTTAGTTTATACTGATGGAATCTTTGATCAAAAATTTCAACCGCTTCTAAAACTTCTGCAGACATCTAGCTAGTATAAGGTATGATAACCTTTGTAGTTTCACAGCTGAAAACAATTTGTGTGATTCACATATCACGTCTATGTCACATTCACAAATTTGTAAAATACCACAATAAGCGTGCGTGTGAAGCAAAATACAGTGGATTTCTACGAATAGCAGGATCAGTTTCACAATCAAACCTCCAGCAGTCCAGATCTTGGAAAAACAGTTTAGATCTGGTAGAGCTATATCCAGTATCAAATAAAGTTAGTTTAGTTTAGGTTTTCTCCTGTAGTAACACTGTCACTGGATCAATATAAAGAGATGATCCTTACTGGACCTCTAGGAAGAACAGTTTAGAACTGATAGAGTTATCCAGTATAAATAAAGTTAGTTTAGATTAGGTTTCTTCCTGTAGTAACACTGGATCAATAAGAGATATCTTTACTGGACCTCTACAGAGAACAGTTTAGAACTGATAGAGCTATCCAGTATAAATAAAGTTAGTTTAGTTTAGGTTTCCTCCTGTAGTAACACTGGATGAATATAAAGAGATGATCCTTACAGCTTACTGGACCTCTAGGAAGAACAGTTTAGAACTGGTAGAGCCATCCAGTAGTTTAGTTTATAGGTTTCCTCGTGTATAGTAATCTGGTACAACACTGGACAAATAAGTCCTAAAAGTGTTTGCTCTGGGCTTCGAGGGCAGTTTAAAGAGTCGATAGAAATTATAGTTCAATTTAGGTTTCGATTAATAACTTTCGTAAGACTTCACAAATTGTATATAGTTGTGCTATAACGAAAGTGTAACAATTGGTTAATTAGAATATTCAAAGCATTGTCATTCTTGGGGAGCGGTCATTAAGTAGTTAAAAGTTATAGGAAGCTATTGTAAGATTTTGGAAAATGTTTCAGTTCTACCCCACATGAGAATTTCAAATTTTGTTTGATACCGCACAGATTTTTTGAAAAAGATTTCATACCCCACCTTAGAAACGAAGGTAAAGCAAAAACATTATTTTGGAAGCTTGTTATTAATATTGCTAATGAAAAGAGTATAACTATAAACTATTCCTGTTTCAAGAGTATTTACCAGCAAAAATATTTATTCCAAATTACCCTGATGGGGTGAAAGTGGCTATGATGTGAGTTATATCATAGAGAGAGAAGAATCGAAGTGGAATTTTTGGTTTGGTATCCCTCTGTTTTTATCTCAAAATCGAGACCCCCTCGAACAAGAAGAAATCCATTGCATCCCAAGAATTTCTTTATTAAAGACTTCAAACTTAGACAACTATTTAGTAATTGCTAAGACGTGATAAAGCCCACAACATTTTTTTTAAAAGATATTCTTTGTTTTTAACAAAACAGTCAGCCTTGCGTTCTGCTAGACTTTGACTTTGGTTAGTTCAAAATGTACCAATCTTCTGTAATTTCTAACAATTGCGTTTCTGGATTTGGTCTTAATTTGGCTAGCCGCAAGATAAATTGTTTGTAAAATATATAAGTGCTTTTTAACTCTTGAAACACTACAATGATATTGCATGTGTTATGATTAAAGCTAAGTATCTTCATTAAAAATAATGACCCTGCTATTTTGGTTTAAGTGTATATAAATTTTTTAATATCAATAATTAGCCTTTTCTTCCTAGAGGGCAAACTATAAAAGTTCTTTTTCGACATCTTAAATCGAGTATGGCCTTAAATAGTTTCGAGACTTATCGAATGCCGTAATTCGTGCTTTCGCAGACATCAAGATAAAGACCGAATCAAACGCGTGCGATAAGATATGCGCACTGAATCCTAGCAACAAAAAGACATTTTTAGACTTTATGACCTTTGACTGTCAAACAAAATTAAGAGTGAAGTTTAGAATGTAAACAGTAACATAGCCGCTGGGCAAATATTAAACACTCGGGCTACTGTCATTCGCAAAGTACTGAGCCTTATGTGTGCATTGCATATATAATCTTGGTCTTGCGGTTAACCCCTATAACAGACCCTTAATTCTACCCTAGCTATGCTCCGTGGTCAGACATGAGTCATAATATGGTAGCCAGAGGCTTCCTTGGAAAGCCTTTGGCCTCCATCTTTCTCAAGATTCAGTTTAGCTCTCAACAGAGAAAAAACCGAGGAAAAAACTTAAAAACTCGTCGAAAAAGGAAGAAATACGTCAATATGTCAAATGAAATATGTCAAAAGTATGTCTAATTCGGTCTTATTTGTGTCTCGAAAATTTCAGTTCGCCTCTAGCGAGCGTCCCCTCCCCCCCGTCGACAGAAATTATGGGAAGTTTATGGCGCAAAAGTTTTGTCAACGTCGCGTTTTTGTCTGCTACCCTAGGAATGTTGCATACGTATAAATTGTAGATTTTGAAGGATTTGTAAGAAATTAAACACCAAGTTAGTTTCCTCAAACATTTCTTGCAAATATTTCAAAACTTAAAATTTACCTATGCAAAATTCCCACTGTGATGACAGAAACGTTGATAGTGTAAAACCAGACTTAAGACTATTGATGCATCAGACGGATCTCGATAATAAATGAACCAAAGCACTTCTGACCACGCTGCAATTTTCTTCCCTTTCTAGATGGTTCGGACGCGGCATTCTATATCAGTCGCAATCGTAAGAATCGCAACTGGGTGATACGACTTCAAGCGGGAGGGTCTTGTGTCTTGTTTTCAGAATGTTACGATAGAAAAACAACAGCATTTGGTTCATCAAAATATCTTCAGAACTCCATCACTGGCACATTCCTCATTTCAGACGATCCGAACATTAACCCTACGTTTAATAAATGGAATAAAGTTTTCATTCCGTATTGCAGGTGAACTATGTTAACTTTGTTGGCACCGAATAGCTCTATCAGTTATAAACTGTTCCTCGTAGAGGTCCAGTAAGGATCATCTCTTATTGATCCAGTGTTGCACCTAAACTAAACTAACTTTATTTATGTTGGATAGCTCTATCAGTTATAAACTGTTCCTCCTAGAGGTCCATAGTAAGGATCATCTCTTATTGATCCAGTGTTACTACAGGAGGAAACCTAAACTCAACTAACTTTATTTATATTGGATAGCTATATCAGTTCTAAACTGTTCTTCCTATAAGAATCATCTCTTATTGATCCAGTGTTACTACAAGAGGAAACCTAAACTAAACTAACTTTATTTATACTGGATAGCTCTATCAGTTCTAAACTGTTCTCCCTAGAGATCCAGTAAGAGTTATCTCTTATTGATCCAGTGTTACTACAGGAGCAAACCTAAACCAAACTAACTTTATTCATACTGGATAACTCCATCGGTTCTACACTGTTCTCCGCAGAAGTCGAGTAAGGATCGTCTCTAATTGATCCAGTGCTACTGTAGGATTTATTTATACTGGACAGCTCTATCAGTTTTAAATGTTCTCTCTACAGGTCTAGTAAGGGACACTTCCTTATTCGGGTAACGGTCGCTTATTACCTTAACTTACGCTTTTGATAGAGTCAAACTGGAAGCGCTCTTCTCAGAGCAAGTGCCGTAAAATTGTCATAAAAAACTGCATATTACAGGATCGAAACTGGGTCACATAGACATACTCTGACCAAGGCACATTGCATTTAAAAACTATATTATTTTCATGTAGTGGGGATCTGTTTGTTGGAAGAAAACACGCAAGAGATCACGGATTCGGCCTACCTATGTTGGGACATTACATAGTCACAAGTGTCGTGAGACAACTTATTCAAGATTACAGGATTAATACGAAACATACCAAGGTACGATGTCACCCTGTTGTCAGCAGGCACTAGCTAGTCTTTTGAACCAGGCAGTAATATACGAAAGTGAGAATTGATTAAAGTTTTTTTCTCAGTAATATATCTATAGCCAACTCTCGATCCGCATGCAACTCTTGTTCTCCATGTGAGAATTGAGAAAACTCTCATGCAAACATTCGCCTGCCAACACTGTAAGGAGTTGAAGTCAACTCCAACTTCGTTATTCTGCCACAAAAAAAAGGTGACAGATTAGCAATTATTAAACCCATTTTGGAGTTGATTTCTGGAAATTTACAGTGAAACGCATTGGACGAGAAATTACAGTAGAAAAAGTTTGTCTTTTGCTGAATACGTATAATTAGCCCATTCACGCCCCATTGTACATTCTATGCACGATATATAACTGAATTATCTGACTTAGGAATATTCTCTCTCTGAGTGCCCTCTAGTACTAAATTCCACGTTTTATATTCACCAGATTCTGTTCGGTGGTGCATCTGCTGGTGGGATTGGAATGCTCAGTAATATTGACCATGTTGCTAAAATGGTTAGACCCGCGAGGGTCCTGGGTTACAATGATGGTGGCTGGTTCACATTGTACCGAAACTATCTCGAACCAAGTGGATCTGGCGCTCCTGAATTTTTGAGCACGCTACGTTATGTAAGATTGATTTGTTTTTGTATATACTTTCGTTTAGCCGATCGTCTTTTAGAAGTTACCTTAAGCCTGTTTTCATATGGTTGCGTAACGGTTGTAAAGATAGATTAACGATCTTTCTCAAGGGCAAGATTATAAAAGTTTTTACCTATAAACCACATATAAATCATAAGTATTCTCTAATTATGATCATTCTGCCTATTTTCAGTTCTAAACTGTTGTATTTCAGCTGTTGGGAAAGATCATGACTCAATCTTTATTCGCGGCGCCCGTTACGACCATAAGAGAACCAAGCTTTATACAAGTCAAATTGAAGTGAATTAACATCGGTATATACTCCAATTGAATCGGTAAATTAACATCGGTATATTCTAATTTACTGGTTAACTGATTTAACCATAGTAATTTGATCACTATGGTTAATAATTAACCATGTCATGTTTAATACTGGGATCATGATAATTGACAAGGAATCCGGGTCGAATTATCTAGGGCTATGATCAAATTAACCAGGACTGTGGTTAAATTAACCAGAAAATGTAAGCAGGGACATTAATTTACTCCAAACAGTGTTAATTTTAGATTGATAGAAAATGTTTAATTCCCTCCAGGGGCACTGCTTGCAGAGTACAACAAAATATTCATTGTCTTGAGTGTAATGTCAGACTGAATACAAAACTAGTCTGTCTATATCTCTGAAGATGCCGGTTTGAATTGTTTTGTTTAGCTTTTTAAGAATTATTGGGATGGTTTCGTCGACGAGTCATGCCGGGCGCAAATGCCTCAACCTGCCGCCTGTCTATATGGAGAAATGGGTAAGAATGTGTTCAATAAGGTTGCACATTTTCTGTGCATGTGTTCGGCTGAAGTATAACACTAGCGTCCATTTTTTAACTCGCCATTTATTAAAAAAATCCTCAAAACCTACAATATAATAAAGCGACTGCTTCGCATGCTAGTATAACACTGGATCAATAAGAGATGATCCTCCTGGATCTCTAAGAAGAACAGTTTAGAACTGACAGAGCTATCCAGTATAAATCAGGTCAGTTTACTTTAGGTTTTCTCGTTATGGTATCGCTGGATCAATACTATTTGAACCAGTATATAAGTAAAATTAGTTTAGTTTAGGTTTTCTCCTGTAGTAGCACTATCATCATCAATAAGAGATGATCCTTACTGGACCTCTAGGAAGAACAGTTTAGAACTGGAAGAGCTATCCAGTATAATAAGTGAAGTTTTTCGTGGTTACAGTATAGTCATCGTTTAAATTAACAAGCATCTTTACTCCTGCAGTGATAAGGTATCTATCTACACCGATCTTTGTGATGGTCTCCCTGTGGGATTCGTATCAGTTAAAGGAACTCAATCTTGATAAATACCGTCCCGTACATTTGCCACCATCATCACACAAAGAGGCTTTGTATTTAGCGCAGTTTGGGAACAACACGTACAAATCTATACGAAGGGTAAGTTTGAATCGTGTTATGTTAGACCGCTCGAACCTCACCTGTGGTACTATATTTTACTATACAATTGTCCTAGGTGCTTAATTTGTTCCAAAATAGCAATTCCTATACAGAGTATATGGAGCTTCTGTGGCGCAGTCCTCAAACTGCAGCGCCTTTCACCTCTGAGTTCGTGGGTTGGATTCTCGCTACGGACTCACGTGAAAAGAGTCAGTCAACATTCTGCCGAAAGTCGTGGGTTTTTTTCGGGTGCTCCGGTTTCCTCCCACAGGGAAAGTTGACAGGGTGGGTTAGCGTAAACGCGTAGCCTTAAGAAAGTAAATACCACAAATGTTTCAAAAGATAAAATAGTCTAGGCTAAGGTCAAAACGGTATTCTGTTTTTGGCCATGCAGCGCGCTCGTTATCTTACGCGCGTTTTGAGAGGAAATGACAATGAAATGCCTGAACATTTAACAATTATTCTATAGAAATTATAAATGTACTCGCCTTTTCTGTATAAATTAATTATATTTGAAAGAATATTTAAAATGATATATAAACTCCTTTACAATTATTCCGTATGTAGCCTGCGTCAAAATCAATCAACTTATTTTGATCAAAAGCAGTGTGCATTGTCGAGAACCCAACGGCAGCAATCTGAGCCTACGTGCATCCGCCATCTTGGATATGCATTCGATATGGAGGGTGGCAAAGGGGAGGGGGGGGGGGTATGGATCACGTTTCACAACGAAAAAAAGCCGTTTAACGATTCACGTCTCTTAAAAAAGCAATTTCACGGAAAACTAGATTCTCATAAAATAATGTAATAGGTTTATTATGACAATGTTTAATGCATGGTACAGTATCTATGGTTTGAGTTCTCTCATTTCTCTATCTGTCAGTTAAAAACTACATCATAACTTACAAGTTTGAGTGCGTGTCTTCAGCGCCAGGAACCTTGTCCTCACCGTCAGGAACCTTGTCCTCACCGCCAGGAACCTTGTCCTCATTGCCAGGAACCTTGTCCTCACCGCCAGGAACCTTGTCCTCACCGCCAGGAACCTTGTCCTCACCGCCAGGAACCTTGTCCTCACCGTCAGGAACCTTGTCCTCACCGCCAGGAACCTTGTCCTCACCGCCAGGAACCTTGTCCTCACCGCCAGGAACCTTGTCCTCAGCGCCAGGAACCTTGTCCTCAGCGCCAGGAACCTTGTCCTCACTACCAGGAACCTTGTCCTCACCGCCAGGAACCTCACGAAAGGCCTGCGAAGTTTTTACTCTTGTGCAATCGAGTGAGATCATATAAATTTGATTATCGCGTATCATGTTTATTATAATAACCACTATAATAATCACAGTTCACGAAACTGGGATCCTTAATTCTCATTTGACGGAGCATTTTTATCAACAATCACGCCTCACGGCTGCAGAACAAATCACATTTCACGACACTAAATCAAGCATTTCACTTTTCACACGAACAAATAGTCACCATCAGTCACGGCTCACGAAAAACCCTTTTCCACCCGCGATATGCATACGTTACAAGATGGGTAAAAAGCGATATTTTTATCTTGCAAAGCACATGTCATTATCAATATGAAACTCGATTTTCCGCAGTCTTTTCAGTAGTCAATTTACTCACAACACTGGAAGAAACCTCTCGAAGAAATATTTAAAGATCAGTTTACGCAGTGTGACCAGACTTTTTCAGCAGTCATTACCAAAATTTTGTTCAAATTTTACTAAATTAAGAAAAATGTTACCAAATGTCGGCTTCCCAAATAATTACGTCATGATAATGCCAAAAAACAATAGTTACGTCATCAAAGTAGAAAAAATATTCACAAAAAGTGTCTCGAAATACTTGTTGCTTTCATCGTATTGCAGTTTTTGCTAATGATAAGGCTTTATTTCTTAGGCTTGGCAGTTCTGTTCATCATCACTTTGTGCACGTTATTAAACAAGAAACACACATTTTTACCAACTATTTTTAATAATACAAACCTTTCAGATTTTACCAAAATTTTACCAAAAGAAACTCATTACCAAATTTTCTTGAAAATTCACGAAATTTTACCAAAAGTAAAACTTTTTACCAAATCCGGTTACACTGAGTTTACGCTGCTTGTGACGTCATCAAAAATTCGGTCATTAGAACAATTATAATTCCAAGATGGCGGAATGCTCCCTGGCATGTTTTTGGTCAAAATATTTCGAAAACCAAGCAAGGTACGAAAAAGTTGTAAAGGGTCTTCATATATAACTTTAAAAGTTCCTTCAAAGAAGACAAAGTTAATTTTTATTGCCGTATCCCGTTAATTAAACAGCTAAAACTTGACATTGTGTGAAATATTATTAAATTAAATTCAACTGTTTGTTTTAATAATTAGCTCATCAACAGCAATCGATCGGGAGTGTTTTCACCGGCCTGTGTGTCGCACACGTTTGCTGGAGTCAACGAAACAGAAGCAGCTGTTACAATGAAATATAAGATTGCAGGTGAAATATACTTTGGCAATGGACCTAATCTTTAACCTTATAACTAAAATTTTGATCTAGACAAGTCTAGACAAAAATTTCATCACAGCTTGAAAGAGCATCACAAAATTAGTATTATTCCAAAGTTTCGTTACTAAATGTTGTAAAATGCGGATAATATAGCCTTGCAAAGTTTGCCGTTTTTCAGTCATTTTGTATTACGCATGGGGAATTGACAGCCCAATGGGGTGTTGGGGCATCAAAATTACTGAAAATTTCAAATTTCGCAGGGCTATATTATTTGCATTTTACAAAATTTCGCAACAAAACTTCGGAATATAACTAATTTTATGATGCTGTTTCAAGCTGTGATGAAATATTTGTCTAGACTTGTCAAGATCAAAATTTTAGTTATAAGGTTAAAGGTCCATTCTTTTCCAACATTTTATCCTATTGGCAATATCAAATAGACCTTATGCATAATGACGTCACAAGGCTTGATACTTGCAAGGAATGCCAATCTTAGTAGTCATTGTGCAAAGTAGCAAGAGTGTAACTCATTGTATACTGTTTTATTTTTAGGCGTGACGTCGTACCAAGCGCTCTCCGAATGGTACAACACACGTGGTAGACAAGGGACCTATGCAGATGTCCCTGTGGAGTCGCCTCGCTGTAACCCTACATGCTGCTCAAAGTATTGCTTGCGGTGCAGTCGAGCTAGTGAAATGTTGGTCATCTCGGGAAAACGACATACACATGATGTTGAGACTCGAAAACAGAAATTGAAAACAGAAATTGTTCAATCTCCAACAACGATAACATCAGGTTAGTATGCAAAGGATTGCTACCATGATGTTTGTGATGTTACTCTGAGTGTGCATCCACACCGGGCAAGCTGAAAAGTTATAGCTTGGCCACAATGAGGCTTTATGAGGCTTTACGTTCGTTTACGTGCTTCGGTGCATGTTAACTATTAGGAAGTAGTTAATCATTTTTAAAGTGACATTACCAATAATTATAAAATTTTTAATTTGTGTTTGTATGTATTTACGTATGTTTGTGGGTGTATATATATATATATATATATTGTTTGTAGTATATAAACGATTTGTAATTACCTGCTGAAAAGCCCTTTTGGGAGCAGGCAATATTGTAATAATAATAATAATAATAAACCCGCTTATTCTTCGAAATATCATCAACTTGAACCGACTTGACCACATAGCTCAGTTGGCAGAGCATTGGGCTAGTATCCCAAAGGTCGCGGGTTTGATTCCCACCATGGCCAAGCTAACTTTTCAGCTTGCCCGGTGATACACACTCAGAGTAACATCACAAACATCATATTCACCTAAGTAAATAACACCAACATACATAAAATGATTCCTACCAGTTTATGAAAAGAAAACTTTTTAGCTTTTAAGCTTTTATTAAGGGTTATCTGGTTGGTCCCTTTTTGCAAAGTTTGCACGCCTAGAGTGAGACATTCTTTCAATTTTTTAAAAATCCCTGTGGCCCTGCCGCCCTGGGCCCTTTGTTGATTCTAGGGTTGCATATATGGCCCCCTTTGCGTTTGACTAAAATTTATCACAACATATTTTTATCAGTGGAAAGTAATTGTTTTGATGCAAGAAATGGTTTTCGACAATTTTCAGAAAGTTCGGAGTAGGCTGAAGCATGTTTTGAATATTCAAAAAATACCTTTGTCCCCGGTTGTTGACTGTAATTTTCACGTTCTTCGAATGTCATCTGTTTTAGGTGCAGAAAGATTGCGAACGATGGCGTTCGTTTATGGTGTTTTGTTGGTATTACTGTAGCTCATGATGTCTAGCATTTGGGGAATGGACAAAGATTAACGGGTGGCATCATTTCATAACTTTTACCTGGCAGTAAGGTCTGTAAAATCTACGGTTATATTTTGTTCTTGAGTCGTAATTATTTAGCCAAAAAAGATAAAGGCGCAGCAACCATTGCTCTATCTCTTTGCCTCTGCTGTTAGGCGTACTTGCGGCCCATAAAGACAGTGTTTTATTTGCGTCATAAAGGATGATGTCCACATCCTATTAAATAACAACTCATCAGCAGTAAGACTATAAATGATTAATAAGTGGAACTTTAAATGGTAGTGGATTTTCGACTTGATTCTGATAATTATTTTTAAAAATTCTGAGCAGAATAAGAAAAGGTTATAGTGTTTGAGCCAAAAATTTACTTTTAGAAAGACAGACTATAAGAATAAGTACAAATCATCGGGCGCTAGAGACTGTTAAGATATAAATTACATTTCCCCTTATGTCCTTTATAACTGTCTTTCTTGTAAATAATTTTCGAAGAAATTCCTGTATATATAAACACTTATTTATATCAACCTGTTTTGTTTACAAATAGAAAAAATATTTTAAATAAGATATTATTAATTTATGTTTTGTGTTTTTCCCTAAAACCATTGCTCAAAACCAGAACTGGTTACAGAAAGTGTGCGAAAAGTCTTAAAAGTGGAACTCCCAAATGTATCCCAGTCCTGACCTTAGCTTAGCTTATATGTATCCCATACTTTTAACTATGTATCCTTAACTTTTCGACATTTTTGGCCACATTTTCCGTTTTCGAAAAAGAGGCCAAAAACGACAAAAAGTAAGACCATATAGAACTAACTTTCGTCTGTTTTGGCCACTCTTTCCATTTTCCATAAAGCGGTCAAAACAACAAAAAAGTAAGGCCTTAACGGCGTCCATTTTTGGCCACTTATTTCATTTTTGAAAAAGAGGCAAAAAAACGACCAAAAAGTAGACTATAGCCTTAACTTTTCGTCCATTTTTGGCCACTTATTTCATTTTTGAAAAAGAGGCAAAAAACGACCATAAAGTAAGGCTATAGGCTTAACTTTTTGTCCATTTTTGGCCACTTATTTCATTTTTGAAAAAGAGGAAAAAAAGCGACTAAAAAGTAAGGCCATAGGCTTAACTTTTTGTCCATTTTTGGCCACTTATTTCGTTTTCGAAATAATGGTAAAAAATGACAAAAAAGTAAGTCTATTGCCTTAACTTTTCGTGTATTTTTGGCCACTTATTTCGTTTTTGAAATAATGGTAAAAAATGACAAAAAAGTAAGGCTATAGCCTTAAATTTGCGTCCATTTTTGGCCACTTATTTCATTTTTGAAGAAGAGGCAAAAAAACGACCAAAAAGTAGACTATAGCCTTAACTTTTCGTCCATTTTTGGCCACT